CGCATTCAGCCTGGTTATTTTATTATTATTGTATTTATTTATTTATTTTTGAGACAGAGTCTTGCTATGTCGCCCAGGCTGGAGTACAATGGCGCAATGTCCACTCAATGCAACCTCCGCCTCCCATGTTCAAGCGATTCTCCTGCCTCAGCTTCCCGAGAAGCTGGGATTACAGGCACCCACCACTGCGCCCAGCTAATTTTGTATTTTTAGTAGAGACTAAACCAGCCATGTTGCCCAGGCTGGTTTCAAACTCCTGACCTCAGGTGACATACCTGCCTCTGCCTTCCAAAGTGCTGGGATTACAGGTGTGAGCCACTGTGCTTGGCCTTTTATTTTTATTTTTTTGAAACAGAGTCTCACTCTGTCACCCAGGCTGTCATGCAGTGGCACAATTTCAGCTCACTGTACCCTCCGCCTCCCAGGCTCCAGTGATTCTTGTGCCTACGCCTCCAGGGTAGCTGGAACTGCAGGCATGTGCCACCACACCCGGCTAATTTTTGTATTTTCAATAGAGACAGGGTTTCACCATGTTGGCCAGGCTGGTCTTAAACTCCTGGCCTCAAACGATTCATCTACCTTGGCCTCCCAAAGTGCTGGAATCACAGGCGTGAGCCACCGCGCCTGGCCAGCCTGGTTACTTCTTATAGTTCTTTTTTTTTTTCAAACTGTGTAATGTTGACAAATAGATCCACCCATGTAACCAACGTCCATCATTGGTGAATGTATTAATATAACTGAATTTATTAACAAATTAAATATTTAAATATGACTTTAACTCACTGGGGGCTAGCAAATGCTCTCTTTTTGGGGCTGGCTAGGTTAGCATCAGATCTGCAGTTTTTTTTTTTTTTTTTTTTTTTTTTGGTTTTCATTTTGTTTTGTAGATCTACAGTCTTAAGTTATTATTTTCCGTCCTGCCTCTAACCATGCTGTCATCCTCATGTGTCCCTGGAGCTTATGACTTTCTCTTGCATGCAACTCTATTATGAGGCTTTTACTGTCTTGGCTACAAATTCTTATAAGCTTGCTTTTTTCTTTTCTTTTTTTTTTTGAGACAGAGTCTTGCTCTGTAGCCCAGGCTGGAGTGCAGTGGTGGGATCTTGGCTTACTTCAGCCTCCACCTCCCGGATCCTGTGGTTCAAGCAGTTCTCCTGCCTCTGCCCCCGAGTAGCTGGGATTACAGGCACACGCCACTGTGCCCAGCTTTTGTGTGTGTGTGTGTGTGTGTGTGTGTGTGTGACGGAGTCTTACTCTGTCGCCCAAGCTGGACTGCAGCGGCTTGATCTCAGTTCACTGCAACCTCCACCTCCCGGGTTCAGTGATTCTCCTCCCTCAACCTCCTGAGTAGCTGGGACTACAGACACTGCCACCATGCCCTGCTAATTTTTGTGGGTTTTTTTTTTAGTAGAGATGGGGTTTCACCATATTGGCCAGGCTGGTCTTGAACTCCTGACCTCATGATCCACCAGCCTCGGCCTCCCAAAGTGCTGGGATTACAGGCTCGATCCACCATGCCCAGCTAATTTTTGTATTTTTAGTAGAGACGGGTTTCACCTATAACTCTATCAAGACAGTTGAAGGTGAAAAAAAAAAAAGTAGAAGAGACAGGGTTTCACCATATTGGCCAGACTGGTCTTGAACTCCTGACATTGTGATCTGCCCGCTTGGCCTCCCAAAGTGCTGGGACTACAGGCGTGAGCCAACATGCCTGGCCTCTTTTTTCTTTCCTATACATTTATTCTTTAGGTTTTTTCTTTTTTGTTTCTTTCTACTCTAACTGTTTTCTCATACTTGTTGCTGTTTTCTCCTTTAGAGTTTTTACTTTTCTGTGTTCACTCCACCTTCTCTGATCTCACTGTCCTTTATCTTTTTGGTCTGTTTATATGCTGGACATTAGACACTGAGCCACAACCCCAGGGTCCAGCCCAGGGCCAGGCACTTAGTCAAGAGTCAGCGAGGGAATGAATAAAAGCAAAGGACCACGTACTCTGAAATCACCTGCAATCTGGTTACAGTAATGGGATCAACTAAAGAACCCTAACCTGTCACCGTTGCCATTTCTGGACCACATCTTTCTCTTTGCATTGACCAAGAAGCTATTTTATCTGCCCCCTTGGAAGCTCCAGCATTTGAAAGGAAGGAGGCTGATTTTCTGGCAAAATGTGACCCAAAGGACCATCCTCCTCCCACTCCTCATCGTTAAAAAAAAAAAAAAGAAGAGCAAGCAGGGGCTATCAGGGATACTTCCTGTTTTCCTCTCTTGAAAGCATCCTGGATAGATGAAACTGAAGGATCAAAGGGACTGCCTCCTCTGGTGCCTGGGGACTGGCAGAATGGCTTTTAACCCTCTACTGTCTCCCACATGTGAGTGGCATGGGCAGTCTACATCTTCTATTCACCTAGTAGATTTTCACTTCTTTCCAGCAGGGGCCTTGGCATTCATTCATTTATCAAACCTTACTGTATTCTACCAAATGCCAGGCTTTGAGGAACTGGGGATACAGAGAGGAATATGACAGACCCTGGCCTCATTCATCTAACAGTAATGATCCCATGTGCTAACATGATCAACCATTTTCTCTCTGTGAGGCTCTTACTACATGCTTTTCATGCATTTGGTCCTCACAACAAGCGTATGGGGTATTCTTGTCCCATAAGCAAAGCTTATGAAGGTAAAATAACCTGACGCAGGCATATGAGTGGTAGGTATCAGGGCTGGGGTTAGAGCTGAGTGGTCTGAGCAGAAACCATATTTATGGCAGATACACTAGCCTGCCCCTGGAGACCTGCCTCTGCGTTTGAAATCTGGTAGTAACTCATTGCTAGTAATTTTTACAAGTGCGTTTTATCTCTGGACTTGGTCAGGTGACCTCTGGTGAACACGTTTGTTTACATCCAGCTTACTGTATGATATTGTATTAGAGCAGAGGTGAGTCAGCTTGCAGCCCCCTGAAGAGTGACAAAAAGGTTGGAAAAGACAAGAGGCAACCTGTGGCCCTGTCTGAGGAACCATGTGTCAGGCTCTTGCTTCCCCGCTCTCATTTCTGGGATAGATCAGATTCCGCAGATTTGTTTTGTTTTTTTGTTTTGGATTGCATTTTTTCAAATCCTGGGAAGAAAGCTGAGGGAGGGCAGGTGCGGTGGCTCACATCTGAGTCCAGCACTCTGGGAGGCCAAGGTGGGTGAATCACTTGAGGTCAGGAGTTTGAGACCAGCCTGGCCAACATGGTAAAACAGCGTCTCTACTTAAAAATACAAATATTAGATGGGTGTGGTGGCAGGCACCTATAATCCCAGCTACTCAGGAGAATTGCTTGAACCCACGAGGTGAGGGTTTGCACTGAGCCCAGATTGCAGCCTGGGGAACAGAGTGAGACTACATCTCAAAAAAAGAAAAGAAAAGAAGGAGAGCCAAGGGATGTTGATGGGTACTGATAGCAGCCAAATGGACATCTACTGAGGAGTTACCCTGAGGCTTTGCCTGTTTCAGCTCTTGTGTTCCCACAGAAATAGACATTTTCGGCCAGGCGTGGTGGCTCATGCCTGTAATCACAGCACTTTGGGAGGCTGAGGTGGGTGGATCACCTGAGGTCAGGAGTTTGAGACCAGCCCGGCCAACATAGTGAAACACTGTCTTGACTAAAAATACAAAAAATTAGCCAGGTGTGGTGGCAGTTGCCGTAATCCCAGCTACTCAGGAGGCTGATGCAGAAGGATTGCTTGAACTTAGGAGGCAGAGGTTGCAGTGAACTGATATCAAGCCACTGCACTCCAGCCTGGGCAACAGAGTGACACTCTGTCTCAAAAAAAACAAAACAAAACAAAAAATAGATATTTTCTCCGTTTTTCTGAAGAGGAATTGAAGTTCAGAGTAGTTAGTTAATATACCCCAAATCACACAGCTAGACAGAGCCAGGATTTGATCCTAGGTTTGACTAACTCCAAACCCTCCACTTTAATTATTCTACTTCCCAGATACTAAACTTGGCAGAGAGAGGAAGAAACTCCCTTCCTGTTTAGGTTCTTGACAAACAGTAGTGGCAGGTGAGGGTAGCAAGTAACCTTGAGATCTGCTGGTTAGGGACGCCTGGCACAAAGGATCTTAAGGTGCCTCTGATTCTGCAATTCTATCTCTTTAAGACCCAGAGCTCCCATGCCAAGCCTGCTCTATGATCCTCAGAGATTTCAGGGGTGGGGAAACTGGATTGAATGCGCTGACATACAAGCAAAAAAAGACCTCAGCATTTTTTGCCTCGCCTTGGTGGCTCCAGCCTTTAAAAATTTTTTTTCTCTCTCATTTATTTATTACTATGCTATTCCCTGGCCCTGCTGCTATGTCAATACTGATAAAAGCAAATCACCCCACAAACAGGTGCAGCTGGGAGCTGCCCCTTGGACAGCTGCCAGGGAAATGTGATCGCTCAGCTGGAGTGACCTGCCCCTGCCCAACCCCCTCTCGGGTTCCAGCCCAGGGCATGTGTCCTTGGGCAGTTAATGTCGGTCCACATGTCACAGCCCTGGTATCCCAGTTGGCATCATGGACTCGTGCTGGTATGTGTGGTTTGGGTGGGGTGGGTATATGCAGGAGAGGAGGGAGACTCCCAGGAGTTTATTTTCTCTTTTGGTTTCTTCCAACAAATTCAGAAAATACAATGTCACCGAGTTGCCCTGCAAGTATTTGAAAATATTTCCTAAGAATATCACTGCCTTATTTCCCTAGGTAAAAAATACTTTTTCCCCATTCCCAGATTCACACACACATGCCATGTAATGATCCAAAAGGCATTTTCTGAGTATTTCCTAGGGCTTAGCTGTGGGTTCACCTAAATAAACATTTTGTGAGCCAACCCTGTTATCCGGAATGCATTTGATGCTACCAAGCCATGTGACTTTGACTCTGGCTTGGAAAAGATTTTATTTCATTTCCCCTCCCCCATTTCAGTGTTTTGTCCCCAAGCATCATTTCCCCACTTCCCTAGGGCACCAGCCTTTCCGGAAATGCCCTAGCTATGCGTGCAGCCTCCGCCTCCCGGTGTGGAGAAGGCGGTGACAGCGCCGCGCCGGAGCCGCAGGGCGGGACTGGGCGGAGGGCGAGGGACCGGAGCTGCCAGGCCAGGCTGCCCGCCTGCCGCAGAGCAGCGCGCAGCTCGGGGAGGGGGTGGTTGCCATGCAAATGACGCGGCGTCCTGCGGGCCCCCCTTACCCGGGGGCCCTCTGGTTGCCAAAACAGAGCATTCCCCAGAACAGTCGCCTGGAAACGGGCGCTGTCATAGCAGCCTCTCAGTAGCAGCGAGCCAGCTGTGCCGCCACGAGGAGCTGGGTCAGGATGTTCAGACCTCCTCAGCACCCCCTCCTCACCCAGTCTCCACCTCGGGGAAGGGAGTGGCGGCGGGGGCCACCGTGGAGGGTTGGGAGGGCACTAATTGGATTGGAACACTCCTGAAGTGCATCAGCTGCTCCTCCCTGAGGGAGCAGGAGGAGGAAAGCGGCAGACCGTCTTTGTGATCAGCTCAGCCTCTCCCTCTCTGCAGCCTCGCCCTGACCTGGTCCTTACCGGCCTCTGCCCACCCACCGCTGTTTTGGGCACAATGGCAAGCTCTTTCTAAAATGGAGGAGGCAGAACACTGAATCAGATAGTCACCAAAATGAAATCCAGCCTTGATGTGAAGGGTACGGTGGCGATGCTACCCGGATCTGACCTGGTTTGAAAGGGTTAGGGAAGAATGCAGGTTTGCCACAGCTCCCGTCAGCACTCTAGCTACTGCATCCCATACACCCGCCCCCATCTTTCCAGCACCTTTGCTCATCAGCTCAGCCATGCCACCCTGATCTTCCCTAAACCTGGGACCATTTACTTTGTCCTGCTTCATTCGGCACCAAGAGAGCTGCCTCATCATTTAAGCGTGTGTGTGCTTACCAGTTAAACTACAATATAAACTTTAAGAGGCAGGGCCCTGTGTTATTGTCATGGCCAACCTTGACCATGAAGAACAAGACAGAGTTTCACAGACCTGCTTGAATTTAGGTGCCCGTGATTTATGTCAACATAGTCATCACCCTGGGAGGCCTTTGGTGTTGCCTTTGCAACAACTGTTTTAGATTGGCCTTTAGAGACTAGTCAAACCTCTTCTGGGACTAGGGAGGGGAGGAGATTCAGTGATAGCCTGAGTGACAGTAAGCCAACAGGTGGGCTACAGAGAAAGTGGATGACTACTCAGGACATACTGAGCATTTCATGTGGTCCGGATGCTGCACACTAGCACTTAGAGGGGTGACTTAAGCATGTGTGTGCAAGGGAGTCCCCTTTCTTTAAATTCCTAAGGGGCCTTGGGCGTCTTATGTATCCACACAGCAAGTCCTCATTCAACAGGGCTAGGTAAGGCAGCATGTAATATGCAATCTCTCCTCCCTCTTCCTTTCCTTTCTAGTGTATTGAGTTTCTGCTGTCTGCCAGGCACTGAGATAGGCACTGGAGGTTCAGAGAATGATTAAATTAGTATCATTCTGTATTTATGAGAGAAAAATTTGAGCTGGGCACAGTAGCTCACGCCTGTAATCCCAGCACTTTGAGAGGCCAAGGCAGATGGATCATTTGAGGTCAGGGGTTTGAGACTAGCCTGGCCCACTTAGTGATACCCCATCTGTACTAAAAATGCATAAGTTAGCCTGATGTGATGGTGGGCGCCTGTAATCTCAGCTATTTGGGAGGCTGAGGCAGGAGAATCGCTTGAGCCTGAGAGGCAGAGGTTGTGGTGAGCCAAGATGTGCTACTGCAGTCCAGTCTGGGTGACAGAGTGAGACCCTGTCTCAAAAAAAAAAAAAAAAAAAAAAATCCTAAACCGTATGTAGGGAACATTTGTCGTGCCTATGTTCACCAGCATTTTTGATCAACTTCCCCATTTTGGGTTTTTCCCACATCATAAATCCTGCTTCCCCAAAGTAAAGGCCAGAAATTTCCCAGATGTTCTTGCAACTAACATGTAAGCAGGTGACCTAAGTTCAACCAATCAGATGCACAAACATGAGACTTTGTTTTCTTTTCTTTTTGAGATGGAGTTTTGCTCTATCACCCAGGCTGGAGTGCAGTGGCACAGTCTCAGCTCACTGCAACCTCTGCCTCCTGAGTTCAAGCAATTCTCCTGCCTCAGCCTCCCAAGTAGCTGGGATAACAGGTGTGCACCACCACGCCCAGCTAATTTTTGTATTTTTAGTAGAGACGGGGTTTCACCATGTTGGCCAGGCTGGTCTCGAACTCCTGACCTCAGGTCATCTGCCTGCCTCGGCCTCCCACAGTGCTGGGATTACAGGCGTGAGCCACCATGCCCAGCTTTTTTTTTTTCCTTTTTTAGTCAAGGTCTTGCTTGAACTCCTGTTCTCAAGTGATTCTCCTGCCTGAGCCTCCCGAGTAGCTAGGACTACAGTTCTGCAGTTGTGTACCACCAACCACATGAGTTGTTTTTTGTTTTTTTGTGTTTTGAGATGGGGTCTTACTCTGTCACCCAGGCTGGAGTGAAGTGGCATGATCTTGGCTCACTGCCACCTCCACCTTCCAGGCTCAAGCAATCCACCGCAGCCTCCCGAGTAGCTGGGACAATAAGCGCACACCACCTTGCTCAGCGAATTTTTTTGTATTTTTGTTTTCACCATGTTGCCCGGGCTGGTCTCGAACTCCTGAGCTCAAGTGATCTGCCCAAATTGGCCTCCCAGAGTGCTGGGTTTACCTGTGTGAACCATCATGCTTGGCATGATTCTGATTTGGAGGAAAGCAACTGAGGAAGAAAGCATCCTGGGAAAGGGGGCTAAAGGGAGTCTCTGGCCTTGAGAGCACCAGGAGAAATGTTCTGAAGTCCAATCTCCACAATTGTTAAAGGGTGGTGGGTTGAGGCAAATTGTAGAATTTGTGCTGAGGTACCTGCCGTAGTGGCTTTGCTGGAAAAGTTCCTTTAGGTGGTTGGAGGATTATTTCTGAATACTCAGCTTCTCTGTGCCTGTCTTTCCTTCTGGATTCTGTGAGCCTCTTAGTAATTTTTAAATTTTATTGATTTAATTTTTTGTTTGTTTGTTTTCAGAGAGGGTCTTTGTTGCCCAGGCTTGAGTGCAGCGGCATGATCATAGCTCGCTGCAACTTCAAACTCTTGGGCTCGGCTGGGCGTGGTGGCTCACGCCTGTAATCCAAGCACTTTGGAGGCCAAGGTGGGCGGATCACCTGAGGTCGGGAGTTCAAGACCAGCCTGACCAACATGGTGAAACCCCGTCTTTATAAAAACAAAACAAAACAAAACAAAACTCTTGGGCTTAAGTGATTCTCCTGCCTCAGTCTCCTGAGTAGCTAGAAGTATACACATGAACCACCACATCCGGCTAATTTTTTTTGTTTGTTTTGTAGAGATGGTGTATCCCTGTGTTTCCCAGACTAATCTAGAATCCCTGGGCTCAAGCGGTCCTCCCACCTTGGCCTCCCAAGTGCAGAGATTACAGGTAGGTACCATAAATATTGGTGCCTAGCCAATATTTTAAAAGTACATTTCTGGCTGGGTGTGGTGGCTCACACCTGTAATCCCAGCACTTTGGGAGGCCAAAGCAGGCAGATCACTTGAGGTCAGGAGTTCGAGATCAGCCTGACCAACATGGTGAAACTCCATCTCTACTGAAAATACAAAATAAAAATAGCTGGACATGGTGGCGTGTGCCTGTAGTCCCAACTATTTGGGAGGCTGAAGCAGGAGAATTGCTTTAACCCAGGAGATGGTGGTTGCAGTGAGCCGAGATTATACCACTGTATTCCAGCCTGGGTGACAGAGCAAGACTGTCTCAAAAAAAAAAAGAAAAGAAAATGCGTCTCGGTGGAGGCCAGGTGGGGAGGGGGCAAAAAAAAAAAAAAAGAAAATTCGTCTCAAACAAACACATTTCTTTTCTTTCTTTTTTTTTTTTTTAAAGACGGGGTTTCACCATGTTGGTCAGGCTGGTCTTGAACTCCCGACCTCAGGTGATCCACCCATCTTGGCCTCCAAAATGCTTGGATTACAGGTGTGAGCCACCACGCCCAGCCCACATTTCTTTTCTTTTCTTTTCTGTGGATTTCGTTGTCTGCAACTAAGAACTCTGATTCAGAAGGGAAGGATAAGTAGATGGATGGGTGGTTGGATTGGTTGGTGAAAGGGTGGGCGGGTGAATAAAGGGTGGGTGAGTAGAAGAGTGGATGAATGGTGGGTCAGTGGAAGGGTGGATGAAGGGTGGGTAGACCGGCAGGCATCAAATATTGAGTTGTTTTGGGGATATAGGAACATAGATTATTTTTCTTCTTTTTTTTTTCTTTTAATAGAGATGACAGGGTTTCACCATGTTGGTCAGGCTGGTCTCGAACTCCTGATCTTACAGTGCTGGGATTACAGGCATGAGCCATGTCACCCGGTCTTTCTTTCTCCCTTCCTTCCTTCCCTCCTTCCTTCCTTTCTCTCTCTCTCTTTCCTTTCTTTCTATCTCCCTCCCTCCCTCCCTCCCTCTTTCTCCCTCCCTCCCTCTCTCTCTCTCTCTCTCTCCCTTTCTTTCTTTCTTTTTCTTTCTTTCTCTCTCTCTCTTTCTCTCTTTCTCTCTCTCTCTCTCTCTCTCTTTCTCTCTTTCTCTCTTTCTTTCTTTCTCTCTTTCTTTCTTTTCTCGGAGCCTTGCTCTGTCGCCCAGGCTGGAGTATAGGGGCACCAACTCAGCTCACTGCAGCCTCCACCTCCCAGGTTCAAGCAATTCTTCTGCTTCAGCCTCCTGAGTGGCTGGGATGATAGGCATGCGCCACTATGCACAGCTAATTTTTGTATTTTTTGTAAAGATAGGGGTTTCACCATTTTGGTCAGGCTGGTCTTGAAACCCTGACCTCAGGTGATCTACCCGCCTCAGCCTCCCAAAGTGTTGGAATTACAGGCGGGAGCCACCATTCTCAGCCAGTTTTTCTTTGGTTCACCTTATTTCCTTTCTTTTTCTTTATTTTCTTTTTAACTTTTATTTTAGGTTCTAAGGTGCATGTGCAGGTTTGTTATATAGGTAAACTTGTGTCACAGGGGTTTGTGGTACAGATTTTTCATTACTCATGTACTATACCTAGTACCAGATACATTTTCTTTCTTCATTTCTTTCATTCTTCCTCCCTTCCTCCCTTCCCTTTCTGTCTTTTACTCCCTCCCTCCCTCCTTCCCTCCCTCCCTCCTTCCTTCCTTCCTTTTTAAAATTTTTTTGATTTAAAGACAGGGTTTCACCATGTTGGTCAGGCTGGTCTTGAACTCCCGACCTCAGGTGATCCACCCACCTTGGCCTCCAAAGTGCTTGGATTACAGGCATGAGCCACCACTCCCGGCCCCTCCCTCCCTCCCTCCCTTCCTTCTTCTTTCTTTTTTTCCTATTAACATAATGAAATCATGTCACTTGTGTAATGATAACAGAAATTATCAGAATGCTGGGTGCGATGGCTCAAACCTGTAATCTCAGCTTTTTGGGAGGCTGAGATGGGCGGGTCACTTGAGCTCAGGAATTCAAGACCAGCCTGGACAACATGGTGAAACCTTGTCTCTACAAAAAAAATACATGCTGGGGTGCCGTGGTTCATGTCTGTAATCCCAGCACTTTGGGAGGCTGAGGGGGGCAGATCATATCAAGAGATCGAGATCATCCTGGCCAAAATGGTGAAACTCCGTCTCTATTAAAAATACAAAAATTAGTTGGGTCTGGTGGTGCATTCCTGTAGTCCCAGCTACTCAGGAGGCTGAGGCAGGAGAATCACTTGAACCCAGGAGGCAGAGGTTGCAGTGAGCTGAGATCGTGCCACTGTACTCCAGCCTGGGGGACAGAGTGAAACCCTGTCTCAAAAAAACCAAACCAGAAGAAACAAACAAAAAATTAGCTAGGTGTGGTGGTACACACTGTAGTCCCAGCTACTTGGGAGGCTGAGGCAGAAGAAACGCTTGTGCCTGGGAGGTGGAGGTTGCAGTGAGCTGAAATTGCGCCACTGCACTCCAGCCCGGGCAACAAATTGAGACCCTGTCTCAAAAAAAGAAATGATCAGAAACCCAGACCTGGAAGAGCTCACAGGCCAATCGGAGATCAGCATAGGGAAGGTGGAAGCCGAAGGGAACATGGGATTCTAAGCCAGGATGTGCCCTAGAGGGGCCTGGACTCTGGACTCAGATCCCAGTCTCACCAAGCCTGCCCTGACCACCAGCACAAAGCCTTTCTTCCTTTCTTTCTGTCCTCTGAACCCCACACCCGTGGCTGTGCCCACCACTCAAAGGCATGCACTTGGCTCGTGATGCCTTGTGACGTTGTTCCTATTGTTACCCCACAGTCCTATTTTACCTTGAGCAAGGATGACACACACATCTGTGACTCATTTCATATTGTTCTGCCCTCTCCCATCTCCAGATTCCCAGAGGCACTGACTGTCCCCTGGCTGGCATGTGCTCTGCAGCTATTTTTCACATGGCACAACCCATCACCCAGCATACTGTCAACTCCACGGTGTCTTGGGATTGCAAGTTATGTGATTTTTGCCAACCCCCTTTCCCACAGCTTTACAAGAAGTAGGATTTTATGATATGCCTGTGGAAAATGAGAAACATATTGTTTCTTTTCATGTTGATGACTTTCTCCATAATAAAATTATGAGCATTTGCAGCCATAGCCCATTCACTCATTCAATCATTCATTCAGCATTTAATGAGTGCCTATGATGTGCCAGGCATTGTGTTGAGTGCTGGGACAGAACTGAGTACAGCACAGCTCCTCCTTACAAGATGTTAGTTTATTAGCAAAAAACAGATATAGGCTGGGTGCCATGGCTCAGGCCTGTAATCCCAACATTTTGGGAAGCTGAGGCCCGAGGATTGCTTGAGTCCAGGAGTTAGAGAGCAGATTGAACAATACAGGGAGACCTCATCTCTGCAAAAAATTAAAAAATTAGCCAGGTGTCGTGGCGTGCACCTGTAGTCTCAGCTACTCAGTAGGCTAAGGTGAGAGGATCAGTTTAGCCCATGGGGTTGAGACTGCAGTGAGTGTGATCATGCCACTGGGCTCTATTCTGGACGTAGGAGCAAACAAATAAGTGGGGGAAAGGTGGTACAAGAGCCCTAACGGCCAGCGTGCAGGGTAGAGCAGGGACTGTTTGGTTGGGTGCAGAAAAGGCTTTTTCTTCTTTCTTTTTAGGCTTTTTCATAGGAACAGCATCAAGTGCTTATTCTAGGACAGCTTGTTTTCTCAGGACTTAATGTATATTCATTCACTTAATTCTCACCACCGCAACAAGGCAGGTGTTTTTTTTTGTTGTTGGTGTTTTGTTTTTAAAGACAGATTCTCACTCTGTTGCCCAGGCTGGAGTGCAGTGGTGTGGTCTTGGCTCACTGCAACCTCCACCTCCCAGGTGAAAGCTATTTTCCTCCTCAGCCTTTCGATTAGCTGGGATTATAGGCATCTGCCACTACACCTGGCTAATTTTTGTATTTTTAGTAGACATGAGGTCTCACCATGTTGACCAGGCTGGTCTTGAACTCCTGACCTCATGATCCACCCGTCTCAGCTTCCCAAAATGCTGGGGTTACAGGCGTGAGTTACTGCACCCGGCCAATACTCTATTTTACAGGTAAGGGAACCAAAGCCCTGAGTGGTATAATGTCTTGCAGGTTTGCACAGCTGGTGAGTTGCAGAGCTGGGATGTGCCCTCCATATGACATCCATGTGCTTAACTGCTGCACCACACTGCCTTGAGTAGATTCTGGAAAGTGAAAAATTAGTGATCACCAGGCATCTTTCTAGGCTTAGTGGCTGCCTGTTTTGTTCAGCTGGGACATGGTTCACTGGGAAATGGTATGATGTAGAGGGCGGCCATCCAAAATACTTAAAAGTGATAGGTGAGAACTCACTACCACAAGCTTGGAGTTCAGTTGTTCTCTGTGTTCCTTGATGGATAAGTTCACTTCTTAAGAGTTGTTGAAAAAAAAAAAAAAGAGTTGTTGAGTTGGGTGAGGTGGCTCACACCTGTAATCTCAGCACTTTGGGAGGTCGAGGCAGGCGGATCATGAGGTTCAAGAGTTCAAGACCAGCCTGGCCAACATGGTGAAACATCGTCTCTACTAAAGATACAAACATTTTCTGGGTGCAGTGGCTCAGGCCTGTAATCCCCCACTTTGAGAGGCTGAGGAGGGTGGATCATGAAGTCAGGTGTTCCAGACCAGCCTGGTCAACATGGTGAAACCCTGTCTCTACTAAAAATACAAAAATCAGCTGGGCATTGTGGCGCATGCCTATAATCCCAGCTACTCAGGAGACTGAGGCAGGAGAATCACTTGAACCCAGAAGGCAGAGGTTGCAGTGAGCAGAGATAAGGCTACTGCAATCCAGCCTGGTGACAGAGTGAGACTCTGTCTAAATAAATAAATAAGAATACAAAAATTAGCCGGGTTTGGTGGTGGGTACCTGTAATCCCAGCTACTCAGGAGACTGAGGCAGGAGAATTGCTTGTACCCAGGAGGTGGAGGTTGCAGTGAGCGGAGATCTATCCACTGCATTCCAGCCTGGGTGACAGAGCAAGACTCTGTCTCAAAAAGAAAAAAAATGGTGGGAGTAGTGGTATGTACCTGTAGTTCTAGCTACTCAGGAGGCTAAGCAGGAGAATTAGTTGAACCCAGAAGGCAGAGGTTGTAGTGAGCTGAGATTGTGCCACTGCACTCTAGCCTGGCAACTGAACAAGACTCCATCTCAAAAAAAAAGGAGTGGTTAACCTAGACAAAATTGTACAGTTGGCAGGATGGGTTTCTCCCCAGGCAGATAGAACTGGCTTTGGAATTACAGGGACTTGAGATCTGATCCCGCCCTGCCACTGACCAGCTGAGTGACTCTGAGCAAGTCACTCAGCATCTCTTAACCTCGTTCCTTTCCACTAGTAATTGAGGATAATAACCTCATAGTGTTGTCCTAGGATTAAAGGAGATAATGCATGCCAATCAGCTTAGAATGCAAACCAGCCAAAAGTGGCATCTATTTAATTTTTAAGTTCACAGTATCTTATCTACCACTCCAAATGCCTAAAAACTCTGAAAACAAAAGACATTTGGCAACAAAACCTGAGTTTTTGTTTTGTTTTGTTTTGTTTTTGTTTCTGGGTGACAGGGTGAGATGGAGTCTCACCCTGTCACCCAGGCTGGAGTGCAATGGCAGGATCTTGGCTCACTGCAACATCCACCTCCCGGGTTTAAGCGATTCTCCCGCCTCAGCCTCCTGAGTAGCTGGGATTACAGACACCGTCATCATGCCTGGCTAATTTTTGTAGGGACAGAGTTTCACCATGTTAGTCAGGCTGGTCTTGAACTCCTGACCTCAGGTGATCCGTGCACCTCAGCCTCCCAAAGTGCTGGGATTACAGGCATGAGCCACTGTGCCCAGCCAAAACCTGAGTTTGTTTTAGTCCCAACTAGTGTGAATTTTCCATGTACTTTTTTGCAGGAATATTAAAGTATTTGTTTAAAGCATTTGATTCCATCCCAGATTCTGTTGGGGTATTGCAAAATATGTACTTAAAACCGGGGTGGCACTGTGTTGATTTTCTAAAATCCAAAAGACTCTACATTACAAAACATATCTGACCCAAAGCCATCAGATAAGGGATTTTGTCCAGCATGATCTCATCTCTAGATCACTCTCTCCATTCCTGGTCCCCCTCTTACCCTAACTGTTCAAATGGCCCTTGGGCATCTAGAAACAATACTTCTCTGCAAAAGAAATACACATATACCCACATATCCTTTGGGACTGCCCATATACCTGCCTCCCTCAGCCGAGCTCCTTCGCTCTCACTATTCGTTCAATCCTCATTTTTTGCCAACTTCATTGAATTTAAATGTCCCCCGTATCCCCTCATGTCCATACCCTGGTCAAGAAGACAGATTTTAGAGATGGCTCCTTCTCTGAACTACTCTGTAGTATAGGCCCAGTCAGTTGTTACCTGCCTGTGGGCTACAGAATTATTTCAAGAAGCTCTATGTCTATTTGAACTCTAAATACTATCTGCCAACTGTGTAAGAAATGTCTGGTTCAGCTGGGCAGGGTGGCTCAAGCCTGTAATCCCAGCACTTTGGGAGGCCGAGGTGGGTGGATCACGAGGTCAAGAAATCAAGACCATCCTGGTCAACCAGGATGGTGAAACCCCATCTCTACTAAAAATACAAAAAATTAGCTGGGCATGGTGGCGCATGCCTGTAATCCCAGCTACTCAGGAGGCTGAAGCAGGAGAATTGCCTGAACCCAGGTGGCGGAGGTTGCGGTGAGCCAAGATCGCACCATTGCACTCCAGCCTGGGTAACAAGAGCGAAACTCCGTCTCAAAAGAAAAAAAGAAATGTCTGGTGCATGACGGTGCTGCTCCTTTTCACCTATGCTGAAGCCCTGATTGTTTTTTGTTTCTATGAATTTTCCCAGTTGACCAAAGCCCCAAATAACAGCTTCTTTCATTGGCAGGGCTGCCGTCATTTCCAGAGGGAAGACGGGGTCTTCATGCTGGAGCAGGTTGGGAACCGCTGAGCTGGGCTGTCTCGGTAGTGTGCCATTCCTCTTTGGCGGGGGGGAATCATGAGACCTGAGGTCAAGTTCCAGCTCTTCCCTGGCTGGTTGTTAGATGATCTTGGGGTCAGACCCTTGTGACTTGGAAAGCTTTGGTTTCCTCATCCTGGAGAAGAGATCCTGAAAATTATCTGGCAAGATTGTGAAGAAGATTAAATGAGATAATGAAAGGACTTTGAAAACTGTGAAGTGTTGCACAAATGTAAGGCTTGTTGTCATCTTACACATATTGTCAATTTCTTGTTTCCTGTCTTTTATTTTTTTTGAGACGAAGTTTTGCTCGTTGCCTAGGCTGGAGTGCAATGGTGCCATCTCAGCTCACCACAACCTCTGCCTCCCAGTTTCAAGCGATTCTCCTGCCTCAGTCTTCCGAGTAACTGGGATTACAGGCATGTGCCACCACGTCTGGCTAATTTTGTATTTTTAGTAGAGATGAGGTTTCTCCATGTTGGTCAGACTGGTCTCAAACTCCCAACCTCAGGTGATCCACCCACCTTGACCTCTCAAAGTGCTGTGATTACTGGTGAAAGCCACCTTGCCCTGCCGTCTTTTTTTTTTTTTTTCCAGACAGAGTCTCGATCTGTTACCCAGGCTGAAGTGCAATGGCTCCATCTTGGCTCACTGCAATCTCTGCCTCCCAGGTTCAAATGAATCTCCTGTCTTAGCCTCCCAAATAGCTGGGATTACAGACACCACCATGCCTGGCTAATTTTTGTATTTTTAGTAGAGATGGGGTTTCAATATGTTGGCCAGGTTGGTCTCAAACTCCTGATCTCAGGTGATTTGCTCACTTTGGCATCCCAAAGTGCTGGGATTACAGGCGTGAACCACCGCTCTTGGCCACATATTGTCAACTTCTTAAAGGTGGGAATGGTGTCTTCTGTTTTTTTTCAATTTCTTCAGTGGCACTCCCCACCCCCAATCTACAATCAGTACAGGACTGGCAATAGAGATGGCTTCATATAAAACACTGCAAAGTAACTTGCACAGTGGCTTAGCAAATAAGAGGTACTTAATCAATGGTAGTTAATATGCGTGCCTAAAAAAAAAAGAAAAAAAAATATGCATGCATGT